AATAATATATTTAGGTAAAACTGCTGTGCCTATGCGTTCTGCCACGCAAAGAATTGTGGGCCACCGTGTAGTTCCGAGAGATGTCAGGAGGCCTATAAGATAATGACATTGGCCTTAGGAGGCATTCTGCTTCCAGATCCTAGCTCCTTCCTGTTAACACTAAATAAACAGCTCTATTATGGTTTGACTTATAAGGACTTAGTGATTTGAGGGATTCAGATTAAGACTCAAACTTACACTTTGTAACTTAAAAAATCAACAGTCTAAACGGTTGTCTATTTTTTATTAGAAAAATAATTCAGTAAAAAAATAACTTTACCAAAGCAGTGTTTTATCTACCTCTTTGTTTTGAATTAAATACAGTCTAAGTTTTCAAACTAATTTAACCTCATTCCAAATTCCTCAAGATAAACTTTAGTTTTCAAACAGAAAATTCATTTTGAACTGTGACATCATTGCATCATGTTATTGGTAATGATTTCCAACCATTTCTAATGTGTCTCTTTTCCTTAAAGGATGTTATAGTCGCCTATTAGTTATTTAAGTTTACTTAACTCTCACTAGTTTAGATGAGAGTGTTTACCTGTAATATATTTAATCGTTTGTTAACACATTCTTATATTTTATTAATGGCTCAATGCAATCAGCAGGGTTTCTTTAAAAAGCTCTTAATCAGTTTGTCTGTATGACTTGCGCTTTGAGATGACTTGTTGGCATTGGCAGTTCTGGACCAAAGTGTGTTTTTATCCTGAACAAATAAATGACACAAAAAAATAAGGCAATATTTCATTGTTAGATTTATTGAATGAGACAAAGAACCTCTTGCAGCTCTGGAGCTATAGTTTGTAAATGTAGCAGAAAAAACAGTGATCTTAAAACCATCATTTTAAAAACTGAATTCAAGTAAATTTGAAAGTCAAAAATTTGACTGGTCAAAGGTAACAGTCAGCTACAGTTTCTGTGACAGCATACATAATAATAGAAAACAATTTGTGTATTATGTCTCTAGTACTGGGGCCATTAGAGGGGCCAGGAACAGTTCAACTGTCTAGGACTGCCTATGTGTGCAGAGAATTGGCAGTTGAATTGAATTATTCCAAATGGAGGTTGCTGCGAATGTTTTCCTTCTGTGTTACTGTAGTAGATTGCTGTTTGACAATGACATGCTTGAATTTCCTATTTCATCCGTTTTCCTAACACATCACAGGACAAAATATGACAGATCAAAAGTTTTTTTGTTGATTATTAAATAAAATAATTGAATTTAAGTACACAACAAGCCAATTACATGAGTTCAATTTGCTACAGTTTCTAATCACAACCAAGAAAACAGCACAGGCTCAAGAAGAGGGATTTCCTGAAGAATAGCCAATCCCAGGTGCTTTACTTTTTCCGGCTGGTATCACCATCAAAGTGACAAAAGTTAACACAAGTGAGCATTAACAGCAGGAGAACTCACAAGTAGAAGAGAGGCTATATACAAATTTATCTCTGGGAACACATCTTCATCTCCTTCATCCTTCATCTCCTACCTTAAGCCTTGCGACTGTGTATGAAGAGAGCAGTGGATCTATAAAGTATTTACTTGAAAAGCATGATCAACAAATATCACTGGTATATAATACACAATTTCTTTTCATTTTACAATTATGTGCCACTTTGTGTTGATTTATGACTAAAATTATTTTACCAGCACATCGTTTCAAGGCACTTTACAGACTCAATTCATTATTTAAACAAACAGATTGGTTGAAAGTTTTCTAAGGAAACCCAGCTCACTGTGTTGAGTCATTGCCTTTGCAGGGTTCACTCCTCGTGGATGAGCCTGTATCAACAGCAGACATTTGCTTGCAGAGTGTTGTTGACTTTGCAGCAATCCCTCACACTGAGCATGTAGCAACAGTGGAGAAGAAAAACCCCTTTTAACAGGAGGAAACTTTGGGCAAAACCAGACTCAGTGTGAGCAGCCTTCTGGTAAATCTGACTCAGGGTTTGAGAAAACAGAGCCAGACACACAAAGACACATCCGATCCATAATAATTATTTTATGTGGAAAAAAGTTATTGGTGAAGTTTGGTTCCATGTTGAAGGTAGTGGCTGTATTTTAACAAAGGTGTAAGAGCTACATATTCTATGACAAACCCTAAAACTGAGACTACAACTACTACTTTATACAGTAAAATATGAGAAACCTTTTTAAACCTTACAAAATTTAGAACTCGACTGATTAGATTAGTGTTTATACTTCATTTCAAATTGTTTACTGCACATGGAACATGTACATCACAAGTCACTTTAGGGAATAATGCCGTGTTTTATTTGCGTCAAAGACTGAAGCTCTAATCTGGGAATGATGAAACACCTGAGTTGAGTGTGTTACTGATTGCAAAACGAGCACGGTTTGCAAACTGTCACAATCATAAACCAGTGCTAGCTCCTGATAAAAATGGATTTTACTCTGTCATACCAAATAAGCTTTTTTTTACACAAATTTCATCAGATACATACCCCAACAATTGCAGATTAAAGTTCATACCTCCAACTTTGTCAGTGTTTTTATATGTGCAGCAATTTCATATCATTTATGGTGAGGGATACTCAGATCTTTCTAATAAGAATTTATGCTCCAGAGATTTATGTTTGTTTATCTGACTGTAACTGATAGCTTCTGAGGGAAAACTGAAGACTAGATTCAAAGACTATCACAAGACACAGTTTGAAATAATTAAACACATACTCTAGTTTAATCTAGTTCAATCCAGTTCATTGATTTCAAAAGGTTCGTAGAGCACAGCGCCGTCTTCATGTTTTCTGTTTCATTCCGCTAGTATGAAACTCACAAAGCCCAGAAAAAAACAGACAGAATTTCTGCAAAATCTTTAGATTTTATTTACTTGGTACACCTGTGTTCATTTTTAGTATCCTAAATTAGCAAATGTCTTTCCTTACATGGTAAGGTTTTAAATCAATCTTACATTTTTTATCGCTGTATTCTGGGAAGCCAAATACATGAATAAATATTTAATTTTGAGGATCTTTATTGTGGTACTTTGTGTGACAGTCATGTTTGGTCGGTAAGACCTGTACAAAAAGGGCAAAACTATTTTGGAGTCTATATTTGTTTATTCTGTGGAATTATTTTGAATGCTCTCCAACATCCTATGCCAGATATAAACTGTACTTACAGCAGAGTAGGATGCCAGGCAAATTAGAACCTAAAGGTGAATTCCTCATATGTTTATAGGAAATTTTTGTTTCTCAGTTTCTCATATTCTCATCAAAGCTGCTGTTGTAAACAAATGCACTACATGTTTGATTATAAAGGCTTATTTTGTATAAAGGAGTAAAAAGTGTTTTCCTTGAGCTCACAAGCATTCACTTTTAATTACTGTTAAAAAAAAAAGCTGGTCAACGCTGGGATTGTTTTGCTTTTTCTCTTTGCTTCAAAATTGTTTTACATCTTCAATCAAGCACTAAAGCACAACTCATAAATGAAAAGGAAAGGAACGTTTCTGTGTCTTTAAGATCACAATGGCTTTACTGTCGCTCCCTGGAGGTCACTGCCCTTCCTTAGGCTCCCTGCCAACTGCCATGTTACTGTCAACCATTTGCTGAAATGCCAGCAAACCCATTAGTCTGGAGCCTTTACACAGTCAGCAAACTGAATAGCGTGAGCAGAACAGCAATGCAGAGGCACAAAGAGTCTGGTCTTATAGAACTACAAACCACTCTTCTTTTTTATTGTGTTGTGTTGTTGGTCATTGCAGCTGTGATATAGCTTGTGTTTGCTATTAAACTATCAGCCAATCTGTTTAAAGTGTGAAAATATCAGCTTTCTCTACAAAAAGATATACCTTAGCTAATATATACATCAGTGTGTACTGTTAAGATCATGTCTGTCATGTATGAAGATTATTTAAATGGAATAAGCATTTCTCTGTGTGACTCTCTGTGCATCTTTGTGTGCAGCGGCATCTGGTGTCTGAAATGAGATAATTACTATTTTTTAAACTGAAAATCATTTGCTGTAATAATAATAACAATAGATTTTTAAAATGTTAAAATATTTAAATGAATGAAATGAGAGGAAACTAATTCTGCTGCTACAGCAAATGTTAGGGTGTCTCTGTTTAACTTTTTAAGAAGGGGCTTTAATAAACTGAACATTTCTAACTTCTACGATGGTGGGTAAGATATAAGAGGAAGGGAGAATTTGTATCATTGAAAATTAAAGTTGGAGGATATGCATCTTTCTACAGAGCTTTTTCTGTCATTTATTATTGATGACAGAAAAAAAGGTCCACTTGTACATTTTGACCTCCCTTTGAATCAGTAATGCTTCTCCAATTTAACTTTGTGACGAGAGAATTAGGTCATTACCAGCTTATAGTCTGTCAATACTACAGCGAATGAAAACTTGGTTCATGTATTTTTCTTCAAATGTTTGATTTACTCATAACATTATTGTTTTTTTAGATATTTCTATTACTTCTGAGACCTTGTGCTTTTCTGAATGAGTATGAATGTCTCACCCCTCCCTCTATCCACCGGTCCCAGCTAAGTGTGTCGCTAAGCCAATAAGATGCAAGAGAAGCTAAACAGAATGTGTTGCTGTCAGGCAGACCTACTAAAGCAAACTGCACACACTCAACCTGACCTTTTCATCTAATAATGGCAAAGTCTATCATCGCTCTAACCTACTGATAGACCTACGTAATTTTGTAATTTCATTTTTATTGAATAGTCTTAAAATTCAAAACTCTACATAATAAATTGTTATCATACAGTAAAAACACATAGTGTAGACCATTTCTAAGGCAATGACCTCCTTACCACAGAATGATGTCACCTATTCAGGCTCTTGTAATCCTTCTCTGTGATACATCCTAACCATCCACAGAGTTTAAGTCACTCAGTCCCTCCAGAGCAAGAAAACCTCTAAAATGTTTTACTTCTAATTATGATGATAATTTAAAAGTGTTCTACTCTTATGATAAAATCTGTGAAGTTTTTAAGTTGAATTTTACAAGTTTTCTCAGTTGGTTGTACATTTTTGCCACTCATATCAAGGCAACATTTCAAGAGTCTAAATATTCTTCTTGCAAAACAATATAAGCCATTCGTTAGTTCACCTGTTGTTTACCTAAGATTTATGATTTGTGGAGAAGCTGCAGCTTTATCCTGAAAAAAGGTTAAGTTCTACTTCTGAATGTTAACCTTCATGATAAACAACCCTCCTCCCTCCTCCCTAGGCAGCCTTGGTGTCTCCTGTTGATGTGCTTCTCGTAGAGCAGATGGCTTTACACATAAATCCTATTAGCAACTTTCTGCTGATGGAGACACCAGACTGAGTTCAGGGTTTTTCATTCTTTCGTTTTCTATGTAAGACGCCTGCTTTCATACTACTTCTTATCTTTTAAAGTATCTTAATTTGAAGGTCCAGTCATGTCTGCAGAGAAGGTAAGAGATTGTTTATGATTTCTTGGAACTTTTTACAGACATATTTTTAGATCTTTTTTTTTCTTGTTTAAGAATGAAGAGTCACATAATCTAAAAAAAAGATAAAGGGATTGGAATAGCCAGTTAATGTAAAAATAGATTTTATCAGGAATACATATTTTATTCAGGCTTAAAAGTCGTTTTGGACATAGTTTCATAGCATTTTTACAATTTTCTGTGATAACCATTTGATTTAATTATGTCAATATGTGAGTTACACCAGTGGAGAAGCCTATTTTACCAGGGGATATTAGTCATTGCTGTTGACAGAAATAAATCACTCTATTACTGGCCCATTTAAATTGGATTTAATCCTGATTAAAAGCATCATTGTCAAATCATATGTAACTATCAGGGTACAAGCAAAGCAGCAGCTTAATTGTAGCGATGTTAATTTATTCTATAAACACTTTATTGAAAGTAATATATATATGAAATATTTGTAAAGTTTAATAGTAGTAATAACTAAAGATAAGAAAAATTAGTAATATTTAAACAAAGCTTAAATACCATGAACATGTCAATGCTGTGTGTATATATAGGTGAATTTTATACCTCAGTTTTTAATGTCCTGTTCATTAAAAGTAAATGAAAATCTTGATAGTGGCATTAGTTCCACGTATAATTTGAATAGACAGGTGGATTTTGCCGTGCGAGTTTGCAGCTACATGATTGCTACAATTCATTGCAACAGCAGTTCTCTCACACTGAAGCCTGTTTCACATCACCTTAAGTTTGAATTTTCTTCAGACACAAATAGTCTCCATGGATGCAGGATCTGGGTCTAATAGGATTAGCTCTCGTGTTTCCGCTGGCTGCAATCAAACTGACCTCGTTCCTTGTAACACTGCGACATGGTGTTCGAGTCATTAAGGTGAAGCTATTGTGTACATATATTTTTCAAACTGAAGAATTTATTTAAAGAAAAGTATAAATTTAATCTTTATGAGTTTTAGAGAAAAGTAAGACGTACAGATTGTTGCACAAAGAATAAAATGTAAGAAAAGGGAGATATTTGAGGCTTTTGCCCTGACAGGAGCTTGTTTTGCTAAACATGAACATGTAACAAGAGTTTGGTTATAAATAAAAGATGCACCAATCCTCAGAACGACAGCCATATTGTTATAAATGCAAGTTTATTCTACAACAAATACGAAACCTTTGAATAAATACATTCAAAATATGTTCAGATAGCGATTTCCAAATACTATTTCCTCTTAAAAAAATCTGTTACAGCAGGTGTGAATTTTAACTAAAAAAGGACATTGTCTCTTAAATCACGAAATAATAGACTTCTAGTGTTTAAAGTGCTGTAAAAATGTGAAGCAACTGGATGAATCTATGTTAGCGTGTACCTAGTGTTTGTCAGGAACCCAGGAAAAACCTTACATCAAATAGTTATAAAACTCTTTTACTTCTTCTCAGAAACCTGAATAATTTTTAATCAATGAATCAGAGTAAAGGATCATCGTGTTCTATGCAAACTGAGTTTTACCCCAAATCACTTTTTGGCTGTTGATACACTGGTCTTCTAATAAAGTTAAACTGTTTTTGATTATTTTCAGACACATATTTTGTTGTGTTGTTGTTTCTTATCCTGTTCTTTTTTGATTATTAGTATTATTGGATTTTTCTAAGTTAGACCTTGAGTCATAAGACATTTTCTTCTTCTTTTTATCTGCAGAATGTATTGCAAGTGATGTATGTCATATTAGTTTTATTGAAGTTTAATAATCCAAACTTAGAAAATGTTGCCCAAACTATGATAGAAATATAATTTTTCTTTTTTTCCCCTTGTATTCTTTTTCCACTGCTTACAATAACCTACATTTGTTATGGTGAGTTTCTGAATCCATTAAGCAAAAATATATTTTTCAGACAGTTTATATATAGATGTCATTTATCAAATAAAATATATTGCCTTCACATATCCACAAGACTAACTGAGCTTTATCAGCAGAAAATGTAAAGAAACCAAAAAAGAAGAAAGAGCAGACTGAAACAAAACTGAATGGAACTGAGACCAAACCAAAGAAAACCAAGACAAAAAAGAATGAAGATGTCCTGGAAGATGATGCCTCTAACACACAAAGTGAGAAGTCTTTTAGTTTTTTCTTGTACCAAAGTAATTTAAAATGGAAAACATAGTTTCTGTAGATTATCTATCAGTAGTTGTAACATTGTATGTCTTCGACAATAACTTAGGTGGGAAAAAAGTAAAGAAAAAGAAACCAGAAAAAGAAAAGGAAGAGCCGGCGAAGGATAAAGAGAAAGAGACCAAGAAGAAAACCAAAAGTGCTCCAAAAAAGAAGAAAGGTGAGTCATTTATCTCAACACGGTTTAGGCTTGTATCATTACCAAATTCTTTATTTCAGAAATATTAAGCTTAAAAGCTAAATGATTGCTTCATTCCAGTATCAGACAGTGAAGATGATGATGATGATGAGGAGGAGGATACTCCAAAAAAGAAAACCAAGAAAAAAACAACAAAGGAGAGCTCCCCGACTGCTAGTGCTGCTAAGGAGAGAAAATCAAAATCTAAAGGTAAGATCTGCTCTGTGTATTCCAGACACTAAATCACTCCAGCATATTAGAAGCATAAAAACAAACAAAGGGGAGCAATGTATCAGAAAACTTTTCATAGTTTGATCATAATAAATTTTAGTATTTCAAAATTAAAGAAAAGAATACTTAACAGCATTCCTGATTTCCTTGATGTTTTTTTTTCTTTATTCTTTTATTTTATTTCCCAGCTCTTCATTGTCATCAGACTGTCACTAGTACGAGCAACGGTAGCCTATTAAACTACCTCCACCCGCCAGCGAAAATCTTTTTTGCTGGCGAGTGGGTCTAGCCTCGATCAATGCCCCAGGCCCTAAATCTGGCGGGCCAATCACAACGCAGAGATGCGTTTTGAATGTCTGGATGCAAAGCAGGCGGGGTTTTGAGGGCGTGACGACAGAGCTGCACGACGCTGGAGAAAACACAAGAGTAGTATGGACTGCGGCAGCAGCAGCTTTCAATGGAGCGCTCCATTGAAAGTAAAAATTCTCTTTTCTGTTGCTTTTGTTCAATAAAAGTACATTTTAAGATAATTCGAGGCGAGAATATGGTCACTTTTCGTCCATTTACCAATTTAATGCGTAATTGAAAAAACTATTTCCGAAGTTGAGAGCACCGCGGCAACCAGCGGAGCTCCGGAGCTAACGGCAGTCAGGGCTATTGCAGCCGGTCTGCAGCGGCCCTCTCACGGCATAATCATGTGTGAGGGGCCGCCGGCTCTGATGGCGATTTTTGACTCAGCTTTGGAATCAATTTTGGAAGGATTAGACTTGGGGTTTTCGTTGAAACGTGAGCAGGAAGAGGCTCTAAGCTCATTCCTTTTTGAGAAGGACATATTCGCTGTTTTACCGACAAGCTGTTTGTTTACACTCCCCCACCAGCTTTCTGTCGCGCTTACTAGGTCACAGTCAGTTGCGCTCATTGGTCAGAACGTTGGCCAATAGGCACAGACAGCAGTTTGAAAAACAATGGGTTGTTCTCATCAACAATCTTTCAATGTATTCATTGGGGCCAGACTAAATAACACATTTCATCTCCCATTTAGTCTGGTTTATCAGGCTAGAGCAATGAAATTCCCTCTCTGCATTTAACCCATCCCCTTGGTGAGCAGTGGGCTGTCTTTCTGGCGTAAAGGGACTCTGAGTTGCAGTCTGTGGGAGTGGGGCTTGATCTTGGAACCTCTCGATTCCAATCGCAATGCCCTGACCACTAGGCCGCCACCCAGCCTATTTTATGCATAGTTAAAGTAACATTTATTAGGACATAAAGTACAGTCTGACATGGTTTTGGCGTAACTTATAAAACCAATTTAAGTTGATTTCTGTTGGTTAAAATACAGAATTGGCTAAAATGTGCTAAATTAATGCTGATGATAATTTACTTCGTAGTGTGCTTTTTTTAACTGCAAAAACATATGTAGTAAAAACCGGTAAACTTAAAAAAGCAACAACAACAACCACTTAAGGACTGCTTAGTGCTCCAGTTATTAGAAAGGTTTCTTCATAGATAGTTTGGTTTTACATAATTAGTTCCAATGAAACTGACCCTGAATGTGAATAAACAGAATGTTCTATAACAATTGGTAAACATAGGTCAGACTACCTGTTTCTTAAATGGCTGAAACAGACATACACCTAAAGCCTGTAATCTCAAATTAACCATGCATGTCTGGAAAAGGAGAGAAAACCCAGAGTCTTCTAGTTTGGAAAACACTCTCTAAGGCGTTAATGGGTTTAATACGACAGTTATGTGACTGGACTGCAGGTAAGAGGATGAGATTATTTTATTGTGTAATAGTCAGTGAGTGGAACTGCTGTGAGAATAAGGTTGTAGATTAAACCCTTGTAATCAGAGGTGGATATTCTGGTTGAAATATGACACCAAATATTACTTAGGCAGTGGGAAACTGACACACACTCCTCCATATCAACCTATCAGCATAGTTTGATTTTACTGTAAGCCTCCTTACCTGCATTTTTATTTGTACGTATCATAAATGTGAGCCATAGTTATAAATAAGTATCTTTCACATGAATTAATAAATGGCATTTGCAGCAGCTTAAATTTTACATCAAAGCCTTCAAAATGGGTTTCTCACTGTCATAATACTTTTCCTCAATTATTTTTAGAGTGATCACAGATTAAGACATAAACTGTCAAGGCGTGAGGCAATAACAGTCTGCTGTAAACATTAAATACCATTGTGACAGTCGTGTATAATGTTACATGATGGATGCATTAGCACTCCTAGAAGACATTGCAAACAGGAGCATCAGGAAGGAATAAAACAGGGAAGATTTGCCTCCAGGTGTGTGTTTTCAAATTAAAGTTATAAAGCTCTCTGCCTGAAGCGACGTTTAGCAACAATCTTTCATACATAAACGCTGTTAATTCTGCACTGTCAAAAGTGCAACAATTTGGAAATGCTGCCATTAAGTCAATTTCAAGCTGATTTGGCAAAGCGGCACCTACTGCCATCCTGCCAAGGTTTGGTTTTAGCAAAAAACAGAAAAAAAAATGAAACGGCAGAAGGCACCATGGGCATGCTTCCCGGCAGGGGAGGTGAGGGGCAACCGGATCAGTTGTCTCGAGCCCAGAGTAAAGAGGGGGCTAAAAATTAAGTTCAATATAATTGTTATTATTATTTTCTTCCAATTGGACCCCCGAGAGTCAATTTCAACACTAAGCCAGGTTACTGTACACATGGTCCTGCCCTGTACAGTGTAAAAGTTACACTGATCTCAGCATTTCAGAGTTAATTTTACTCCACTAATGTTGATTTTTTTACAACTGTTAAACTAAGTTAACAATTATTAGAATAATTCTTAATTTATTCTATAACTAATATCAAATCCAACTACAATAAAATTAACTCTGAAATTCTGACACTGAGATCAGTGTGACTTTTTCACTGTACAGAACAGGACCATATGTAATCTGGCTCAGTGTTGAAATTGACTATTTAGTAGAGGTGAGTATTGGCATGAGTGTTGCAATTCGATACATGTCGCGGTACTTGGGTCACGACACGATATTATCACGATATTGCAGTATCACTATATATTGCCATATATTCCCCAGCTATCAAAATCAAATGATGAGATTAAACAGCAAGTGCTGTATATTTTCATCAGAAAATATTGATTAGGTATTATTATCCATGTTGTTTGGGGTTTTCTTCCACTGTGACTGCCTCAAATACAGATTTGGTGCTGCACACAACGTTAAAGGGCTCCACAGCACTTTCTGCCAGAGTGGTGGTGCAGAGGTAGCCCATTTTCCCATCAATGTTTTATGTAACCATTTTTTTTTTAAATCGATACTAAGAAGTGAAGGATCGATATTATATTGGGCAGCCGAATATCACGATATATCGCCAAAACGATTATTTCCCACACCCCTACTATTTAGGTATTATATTAACACAGCTAATTTTACTGTGTACAGTGATGGGGAAGTAGGCTACCCACACCCCACATTCCCACAAAATGTTTTGGCCATTGATACAGATTCTTTCAATTTCTTTAAGCTGTTTTCTCTACATCCTAAAGTAACCCTAAACAGTTGAGGATTTGAAGCAAAACTGCCACATTTACATATTTTACCTACTTCAATATATTATTCATTTTATCATAAAATAATTATGCTGAATGTTCATTGTAATTATTTTTATTTTTATATATGCATTTTTAATGTGGTCAGAGGCTTCTTGAATACTTCTTGAATAATAAGATAAATCACTAGCAAAGTAATCTTTTTTTTCTCTATTAAATAATGAAACAATTTTGGTAAAACCCCCTTTCAAAAAGCAGAGCAGAAAATCTAAATATTACTCTGATCAGAAGTTTTGTCTCATTTTATATCCTCTGCTCTAGAGTGACCCCCAGAGGTAGAACATGTCCATTTTCAATGGGAGATGTTTGATAAAAGAAAAGAAAACTTTTAATTTCAAATGAACCTTAACAAACCCAAATGTCTATGTGAGTATTACTAATCTAAGGGTGTTTAATGCTAAATATTCCTCAAGTTTGTAATTTTTTTTAAGCTCACACAGGGAGAACACTGAGTTTTAAGTCTTCATTTGTTAACAGGTCTAAGTGTTGGGGCATGTTCTAACAGATTCTTTGTTGTGGAGCAGGTTTTGGCAGCAAGCGTTAACAGCGCTGTAGCTGTAATTGAGTTTTTGAATGTGCATGCTTTCTGGAACACATTTGAATGAGAAACTTTCATATTCAACATATGAGCTTTGCATTCAGAGAGTCGGTAGCTCATGTCTTTGGCATGCAAACACTTGTGAAATTACTTCCGCCGTGTAACAAAAAATAATTTAATCTCCTTTGTGAACAATTTCGGAATAAAAAGAAAAACATTAGACAAATTCCTCTTGAGACATTTGACATCTATATATGGTCAAATACCGGTTAATCCTAAATTCTTTCTGCATTCCTAAAATGTTGGAGTAGGAAAAAAACAGCTTGAGGAAGCAAAAAAAAGCAGATGTCAAACTGAATGCATGCAAAATCAAAACTTGATGCCCAAAATTACTTTCCACAGCTGTTCTAACCCTCAGAATATTTCAATTTGAGTGGTATTATACACAACCAAGATTTAGTACCAGTTGTATTGCACTGAAACTCAACAACATTGTGCTACTTTTCTGTATTGTACAAAAAAAAAGACAAAAAACATTCTGGGGTTTGGTGGTCACCACAGTGGACAGCTGTTTAATAGCCTTTTGCTATTAAATGCAAAGGTTCCTGTGATGGAAGTACTTATCTACCATTAAGTGTCCTTTGCTGCTTCCTTCCATAAAGGCTTATTTAGTGGTTTGTTGTTTTAGCAATAATTGAGCCTCTTCTCAGCCCAAAGTTGTTAAAAGACACATCTGTTTACCACTGGTGGAATATGCTCTAACTCTTTAAATACATACCTTAAGAAGAATAAAGACACACAAAAAAAGCTTCACTCAGGATTTTATAATTCATGCATAATTGATTGTACATTTTGCTCTTTACAAATGACTATTATCGGTGGTATTGTCAAATTTATCTGTGAATCATCCTTTTTTTCATTTATTTCATTCTGTTTTTTAATTCACAGAGGGCAAAGATTCAGATGGAAAAGATAAAAAGTCAAAGTCAAAGGAAAAGGAAAAGGGAAAGAAGAAAGAGCCAGCATCGATGTTTATGATAAATGGGGAAAAAAGTTCTAAGAGCAAAAAGAAAGGTGATTATTCATCATTCATAATTAGAGATTTTTTGACATATATAGTGTTTTTTTTTTTTAAAGGTTTAGTTAACTGAAGGTAAACCTTAGAAACATTATTTGTCTGATTATCTTTTGAAAATTGAATTAAATCATTTGAGAGATCCAGAAGACAACTGTGTAGCCTTAAAAGTCTGCATAATTTTTGGATATATTTTCTAAAACCCTTAAATTGCCATATTAATCAGCTGAAATAGTTATATTCAAATATAAACAGGGTTTTCGTCTGCCAGCGTGGATTTGTTTTGGTGTGAAATGTGCATATCAACAGCAGAATAAAAACTAGAGCTTTTGTGGTGGCTAGATAAACAGCCACCACATGGGTAAAGACCATAGCTTTAGCGGTATGTCCTTTGGTCAGTTGAAACCAGAACAGAAGTGTTGGGTCATATTAAGCATTAAGGGTGTTTTAAGGGGGGATTGGTGTTTCCCATCCTTGCAAGAAATATATTTAAACCTCTGATTTTATTGAAGTCATGTATTTAGACTGCATGTCTTTATTTAAGACATGCAGTTCTCTGATTGTTTTTTAATCAGAAAACTGCAAGAATTTTTTTGTCTTATTTAATGCCAGATAGAGATGAAACTTTGCATGTTGAGGAGGTAAACATCTGGTTTAATTATGTATTATACAAAGCATTTGTTTATACAGTAACAGTAAAGAGCACTACTACTGCTTATAACACATACACAAATGTATGTAATTCAATTATGACTCAAATTTACCAAACAGCAGCCAAGTCAGAGAGTGATGTCAGTGAAGAAGAGACAAAGTCAACTAAATCAAAGAAGAAATCTACCGCTGGTTCAGCATCAATGTTTCAGACTACAGGGGATAAGGACAAAGAGAAAAAGACAAAGAAAAAAGGCAAGTTACCCTCATATTCCTTCCACTGTTAGTGTTTGTTTGAATAGAACATGATAGATGTTTCTGCTCTTATAGGAAAGGTAGAAGAGAGTGAAGAATCTGACTCAGAGAAAGAAGAAAAGACTAAGAAGAAGAAGGGTAAAGGGAAGAAGAAAAAGGTAGCTTAAAAAAAGTGTACAACAAAACAAAAGATAAGACACCATGTAAAAGATTTATAATAATCAATGCTTTTAAACTCACAAATTCCTGGTCTCATTATCAGGAGAGATCTCCCTCACCTGAGATTGAGTTTGATGACTTGGAGACATTTGTGATGGATCCAGCTCCACAGGGCGTGACTGTTAAATGCAGAGTGACGCGGGACCAGAGAGGCATGGATAAGAGCCTCTACCCTCTGTATTATCTTCATCTGGACAATGAGAAAAAGGTGAGGAAAAAGTCATATATATTTTGGAATATGTGAAAAATGTCAAATAAAAAATTCCTTGATTGGTTGAAATGATTTTTCCATGGATAAATAAACGTGCCTTAAAGCAGGCAAAGGATTATCATTTAGTTTTCATCATTATTTGTGTTTAAGAAACAAGCTTTGAAATGAAAAATGCAAATATTTGAAGATTTTTTTTACAGTTGGGGTAGATGAAAAAAAAATAAAGTAAAAGTCAAATGAAAAGTTTAAAAATTCAGAGATGTTAATTACCATAAGCCACATCGACGGAAGTAGACTGATAGAAAATCACATCCTTGAAAGAACGAATGTCCACAAATATGAGTAAAACTGAAGAAGATAAATACCAGCCCCACTGGCAATGGTTGTTCAACCAAATAACCTTCACTCGCCTACTGCTTCCCCTGTTGAGGTACCTTTTTTATCTGATTTAGTGTCATAAAGGAAAAAAGCAGAGTACATCATGAAAATTCATTGTGATGCCAACAGAGAAATGCAAAACACATTTTATAATGAACATACTCTGTTTTCCAATGTTATGGGGAGACATGAATACCTGGGGATGCTGGAGAAAAAGACCAAGTCCAAATGGAGAGGACAGGTTTTAAACCACCAACTAATGCCTTATTTCAAAAATAAGATTGGTAATGTTGCATTTGAAGATAAAGCTGTCATTCATCTAATATTTAAGTAAAATGTATCTATATTAACCTTTTAAAGGTATATTTTAGGGATATTGTGAACCTTTGCTAAATCAAATAATTACAATGGCCTTAAAGGGACACAGCTCCATATGATGAAAACAAAAATGTAGTTGAACTCATCATTGAACCTTATGGAATGAGAAATTTCTCTACACTTTTTCATAGACTGTTTTCTTCTTGAAAAAGCTCCTGAGGAAACTACATAAATTGCATATAAGCTGCTATTCTCTCATTGGAGGCTATTATTGTCAAGTTATGCCTTTAATTTTTGCAGCTTCCCCACTTGAAAAGGATGGAAATGTTTATTCAGTTCTAAACAGCAGGATTCCACTCAAAGACCAAAAAGATTCCTTCTTTATTTGCAAATATTTTTGGGAAGACAGGTGATCATAATGTTCCCAATTCGGGTAAAAACATTAAAGCAAACAAACAAAAATAAATTATGAAATTACGTAAGGAATATCTCATTGTTAAATAATATTTACACAAGAAAAAAACAACTGACACCCAACTCAACTCAAAATCCCCAAATTATAGTGTATATAAGTTTCTCTACCACCAGGCAAACTTTAAAGTACATCATCAAAAAGGTTTTATCATGATCTCTTCATAAAATTATTTGTTTTTTTAAAGTTCTATAAGACGTTTAAATCACTTACAATTGCATAAGAGAAGGACCCATCATATTTCATAATAAATCAATTAATCTATACATTCTTTTAGCTCATCAGAGGACTTATAATAAATATTTTAAAGAACTTATAAACCAAACAACAAATGAATGAAACAGAAGCAGCATTATCTTGCCTCCGGCTAAACTGTGGCTATCTGCATACATTCTGGGAGCAAGGTGCCGATTCTCCATAGAGTAAATCACCTGTTTTACTGGCTGCTACTCTGCAATCTTAGTATACATATTTAGAGCTTTTGTAATGAAGAGCAGGATTAGAACATAAATGTCAACAATACGAAACATTTTGTAACATGTACTTTCTTTTTTTTTTTTTTTGATCTAATGTTACTTGTTGTTATTATCCTTTTAGACATTCCTATTGGCAGGAAGAAAAAGAAAGAAAAGTGCAACTTCAAATTACCTCATCTCTATTGATGCCACTGACTTGTCAAGAGGTGGTGAGAATTTTGTTGGAAAGCTGAGGTATGTCAGAAAAACATTTCTTTAGAAAATTTATTTCTAGTCTTTATAAATTGTAGTCTTTATAAATATATATGTAACTATGTATATATATATAAACTTATATATTTCTATATAAAATTAGGTGTATATATATATATATATATATATATATATATATATATATATATATATATATATATATATATATATATATATATATATATATATATATATATATATATATATATATATATATATATATATATATATATACATATACATATACATATATATATATATAAACGTATATGTTAATATTTTTAATGTATGTGTTTGTATTTCAAAAATGTATATGTGTACATATTTTTATTTTTCATTTTTTTAACCCAGGTCCAATTTAATGGGGACTAAATTCACAGTATTTGACAATGCTCTAAATCCAGAAAGAGCTCTACCAGATATGTCTAATGCTCGGCAAGAGTTAGCTGGCATCATCTATGTAAGTTCGTCTAGGGTTTACTGCATCATCATCACCCTTCTAGGAATGTTTTCAGATATGATTACTGAATAGAGTAAAATGTAATACCTTGAAACTGCTTGTTTCTGGCCTCAGGAAACAAATGTCTTAGGCATGAAAGGACCAAGGCGGATGACGGTCATCATTCCAGGCATGAGCAAGGACAATGAGAGAGTACCGCTCAGGCCCAGAAACGTAAGCTGTAAAAAAAATGTAGAACAAGTATAAACAGTAACAAGCAATAATTATTTCAACAAAATGACCCCCCCCCCCCCCCCCCACCACCACCACCTTGCAAAAAATAGCTGCAAATATAAAAATTTTTAAATTGCTTTTAGTGTTATGACTTATTTTTTAGTACAGCTCAATTTCTGACATAAGCACAGTATAGTTAACCACTACCTAAATAAAAGCTTTCCAAAACATTACTACTGTATTTAAATGGATCATCACAGAGCGTAAGAGTTAAATATACAGCCTTAATTTCACTGAAATCTTTAGGGCTACATTTATCATTTATTTGAGTTTTAATCTATTCATATATTTTCAGTTATTCAATTAGTTGAAAATATCTTAATGTTATCTAAGATAGCAGAATTTTAACAGAATTTTAGGAATTCCACATTTATAAATAAGAAACAGTTACCATATAGAATAAAAAATTTTATTGAACATTTCAAATGAACTGCAAATGGCAAAAGTGAAATAATTACATACTTACATAGGTATGTTTGTGTGTAAAACAATCAATCTTTAATGGAGATTTTTTTTATATATTTGTTTATAAATCCTTATCATTTCTATCTGTAATTTTTCTGAATTACTGCTGATCACATTCTTTCAGAAATTAGCATCTTATGAAGTATGTGCTGAACACTGATTGTGTTCCTTCATTCTAGGCGACGATTTGATTCCATTAACAAATAAGTTGACAAATATTTTGATAACCAACTATTCACAATTAAGCCAATGAATTGTTTTAAAAAAAAAGAACTATAAAACAATGACTAAAATATGTTAATAGAAATGTGGGTAAAGTTATCTGCAGAATTTATAATAAAAATGGAAAAACTAGCCAATGCTATCAGAGCATCACAATGCAACTGCCTTCTCATCTAAATGTCTTTTATTTTCAAACATGTTATGCATCGTGTGATTGTAAAACTGAAAAGGAGCTGACTCTTGAAAGTAAACTGAAATTAAAGATATTCAAGCAAACTTATTTTTTTATCCATTAGTGCAGTGTTTCAATAAAAGTATCATCCAGCACATTTCGATTATAGCTCACTTGTTCCTCAGTCTTTATATTTAAGGAATATAACCTTTTTTTTTTCACCACAACAGCCAATAAATTGTATTTCTTAACTTTAGATTGAAAGCATTTTTAGCTGCTTTTGATTAAGAAAACCCACACAAATACAGAACCACGAAATTAAAAACTAAATATATAAAAATGCATAAACATTCTTTCTTACACAAGCTGGTTGCCAACAGAAGATCCAGATGTTTAGCAGCTTTATTCATGTTCTTGTTTATTATGGGAAGAGGACAAGGCCAGTGGGTAAAATCTTATTGCTCCTTGTTGATGCTCACTGACTTATGTTTTGCCAATTGACCACAGGAATGTGACAGCTTGTTGGTAAGGTACCAGAATAGAAGGATGGAAAATCTGATTGAGCTTCACAACAAGACGCCCGTGTGGAACGAAGAAACTGCCTCTCATGTGCTGAATTTTAACGGCCGAGTCACACAGGCCTCTGTCAAGAACTTCCAGATAGTTCACAACAAGGACTGTGAGTACTTCTCTTCCATCCATCTTTGTTCCACAAACACAAAGATTGCACAAAGAATCCACATGCACAAACACAAAGAATCCACATGCAATTTGTTTGGAATTGCATGTGGATTTGTGGCATAATGAAATAAAAAGTGGTTTACAGAAAAAACAAATACAAGCACAAGGATGAAACAAAATAGATCAGCTAAGTATATATCAAACCGCTTTTGTTGGCAAACCAACATTTCAAAATATGTTATATTCAATTCTAAAGCCCTGTTTAGCAACATCAGCGTTGATAAAATCATCTAAATACCAAAAATGGAAATTGCTTTAGCTTCTATGCCCATTTATGGCAAGTTTGTATGGAAAGTTTGCATAATATCTAGATGTTTCTGCCAATGTATGTCCTTCAGTCAAATGACCAGGTACTACATCATTTATTTAATATAATCATTTAAATAGAGGGATTTGCATTAACACAGGGTACATCTGTCTGAAGTAAAATAATCCAATGGTTTATACATTTAAGAGGCTGCATGATATCTGTATTTGGTTTTGTTTTTAAACCAGCAATCAACTGCTAACATGTTTTTGTTTTTTCTAGTGGACTACATCGTCATGCAGTTTGGAAGAATAGCCGATGATATTTTCACACTGGACTATAACTACCCGTTGTGTGCCGTGCAGGCCTTTGCTATCGCACTCTCCAGCTTCGATGGCAAAATTGCTTGTGAATAATCTAAAGATCATCAGCTTTATGCTCCCGCTAAAACCCAAAAGCAACATGTTTATGCCGACCTGTGACTCTGGACTCGCCTCAACGGAGCAAAATTGGGGCTGGTAACTAATGGCAGATACCTGCTGCTGCATTGCCACCATTTTACCATGGAGGTTTCCTCCTGGAGGTGTCAGGAGCAAAATGAACCTTCGTGGCATAATCTAAACATAGAAGGCTCGGTGAAGGACAGTATTGTTTTCTGTTTTGGTAATTCAGTGCAAATTTCACAATCAGTTAAGACAACATAATCTCAGGAATGACTTTAATGAGTCTAATGAATTTTAGAACGGACTATAAGCCCTCTTAAACGTAGACATTGTTATATTATTTAAAGATGCTTGACTTTGTGTGTTTTGTTCTTTTCATGTCATGCTGTGTTGTATCTTGTTCATTTGTAGAGTTTATTGTGTCAATGTGACACAGATAAACAAGAAACTACATTTTATAATGTCTGAGGAGGTTTTCTTTGAAACAAATATGGTTGTAATAAGAGGTGTCAGGTGAGATAGCATTGGTAAAGGTGTTATAGATATCTATTCATGTGTGATTATTCTGTCTCCTTCTATGTTCACTGACACAGCCTGGTCTAATTTACTATGTTGTTGTTTTTTGTTTTTTTTTTGACTTTTTTTTCTGCCAGAATTTGTAAAAAATCTTGTATTCTTCTTTCACTTTGCCTTTGTTTTATGTGCTCAATGTAAAGAGGCGTGTGAATTAAACCTCCTTGATAACAGACAAACATGGTCCAACCAGTCAAATTCTATACTGAAAACTCAAAGTGGTCTGCGAGAACAGATATAAAAATATGTTTTATGATTGTATCATCTACTGCGAGGAGGCAGCTGGCAGATAATAAAACAGATTCCAGTTGCAAGTTTCTTAGAGACACCCACGCTTTTCTTCTCTTGCGGTCTGACATGTCGAGAGCCTCACTCAGGGTGAAAAACCTGTTTGATTGGAGGGCCTGGAGCAGAAGTGAGAGGTGTGTATTCTGCCTGAACCTGCTCAGGCTGTTGTCCAAACTCGCAGAATTAAACCAAGCCTGAAGCTAACTGCTCCTCCTGAACAGATGCTGTACAGTGAGTTCCCCAACACCCCCAACCCCAACCCCTCTATTGTCTGCTTTTCATAGAGGAATTTCAGCTAAATAACTGCAAGCATTAATGTAAACAATTGTATCAACCTAATTTATTTTGTTCTACTTTACATATTTCTTATGAATAAATAATGTGTTTAAGAACAAACATTCATATGTAATGTTGCAGCCATATTGGTGACCAACAGAAGGAGCTTTTGCTAGAAGGAAATGGTTCCTACTAGAGGATATTCAGTTTAAAGTTGAAAGCTCATAAAATGACACATTGGATGAAAAGAGTAAGGGCATAACCATCACACTTTGTTGGATATCTAAAAGAATTTACGCTGTAGTTGAAGCGGGACTTGTTTTAAAATCTTTACTAATAAAAAGTTTTACAGCACACGTAAAAGTCTTACAGTGGAAAATGTACTATTTTATGAAAAGCTGTATAATATATAGTAAGTTTGTAAAATCAGAGAGGTTTCTATATATCTATAGATTTAATGGAGAAAAATACAGAAAAAAAAAATGAAATTGAAAGTGTTTATTAAGCAATTAAAATATTCTACCTCAAGTTAGATTACAGCATTTAAACAATAATAAGTTTGCTGATTTTTTTTTATTTTCATATATTTTACAAAACAAAACATTCTGCTGTAATATTTATTTTGGAGCTCAATACATCACATTTTTGTCCCTTAAAGAGCACAAATACAAGTGTTTTGATTTGCACCGATACCGATACCAGTATCGGACGGGGCCCGATACTGCCCTAAAATGTTGGTATCGGTATCGGCGAGTACCAGCAAATAGGGCACCGATACCATTTTGAGAGCCATAAGTTTATTCAACTATTGTCACCCACTCCTGGTAGGCGTTAAAAAGTTCTACTTGATTCACTTTGTATTAGATTTTTTCCTGCTTCACAAAGGTAGGCAGCAGCTTGACAAAGCCATGATGGTAATTATTTTACATCATTATGGTATTGGTATCGGTCGATACTGCACAGCCAGGTATCGGTATCGGGGCCAAAAATGGCATCGGAGCAACACTAACAAATACATCACTGAACTATAAAACACCATCTAAATCTCTAGTAAATCAGCTTATTTTGACACTGACTAATGGACTAAAGGATCATATTTATCAAACTAAAACAGTCTGTTTTTCTTTTAATTTGGCTCTGACGCGTTCAAGTAATAATTTTCATATAGAATATAATTAAAATAAATCTAGCTGATTCTATTTTATCTATTAGACTAATTCATATATATCTTTTTAAAAGGCATCTTGTATATATATCGTAAGAAAAGGGCAATTTTTACAGTCATTTAGAACAGATACCTTGGATAAAATTATTGCAATTTTTTTAAAAGAAAACTATGGTTTGATCCATGTAAATAACTAAGATTTTTTTTCAGTTTAATAGCCAGATTAAAACACATTAAGTTTTGGCACCCTTGTATAGATGAAAGATGGAGATTTTGTTTTATCTACTTGTAAGGGACTACTTAACACCATTTTATTTGCTCACAATAATTTACTATTAGAAATGGATGACTCCTTTATCCCAGCATGAAAAAAGCTATCCTACCAAGCCACAGAGCTACATCAACCCTCTATCACCTAAAACACATCTACAGGATTAAAGTACTAATGTCTCAGCAGGACCCTAAAAACTAGCTTACATCTTTATTAGAATGGTAACTGTGTCTTTACATGTCTGCCTAAAAAGATGATCAAACAGAAGCAGCTGATCCTGAAAGCTGCTGCCTGTGTCCTCACCACAACAAAGAAATTGGAGCACATCACCCCAATACTAAAGTCTCTACACTGTCTTCTAGTATCTCTGAGAATATATTTAAAAATACTCCTGTTAGTCTATAATATATTCCTAAATGTCTTAGCCCCTAAGACATATCAACATGACTCACTGTCAGTGTATCAACCGGCCAGACCTTTGAGATCTTCTTGCTCAAATCGACTCTGCATACCCAGAAGAAGAACCAAAAACTGAGAAGCAGCTTTTATTTCTTATGTTCCACTAATCTGGCATATATTGTAAAAGTCATCAAATCTCAAGCTTCTTTAAAGTGGCTTTTGAATATCCTATCTAAACATTTTAAGTAACTTTCAGTCAACATTTTATTTTCATATTATTGGTAATTTTTGCCACAGTAATGTACCTTATTTTTTCATGTACAGCACTTTTAATCCCTTGCTACTCAAATGTGCTATATAAATAAACTTAGGAGAAAAATCAGGTAACTCCTATGCTTAAAAGTAACCTATTTCAACACATAACACATCCAAATGAGTCAAACCCCCACTTTGACTCAGATGGCTCCCATGATTCATATGGTGAGATGTTTGCCTGATTTCTATATCCTGTCCCATTTTTTGTCAATCATCTGCTGGCTGAACAGTTTTTTCCTCTTATATTGGTGAGTATTTGGATGCATTAGGGCATACAGATTAGACCGCATGGAGGAATAACCATATCCTGGTTGTTTGTCGGGAACCAAAACCAAAAATGGAAAAGCAGCTCTCCGTTCGTAATTCAGTTCAATTTTTTTATATTTAGTGCCGATACACAACACATGTAGTCTTAAGGCACTTTAGAGAGACAATTCAACCAGATCATACAGGCTGATTGGTTAACTGTTGTCTATATAAGGAGACCCAGCTGATTTTATCCAGTCACTGACTTCTGTAGGATTGCTAGTGTGGAGTAAAAAATTAGCACTGAGAGTTGATATGCAAGGAAGAAAACGTTTTATTTTACTCTGCAGAGGAGAATGGCACAAACCAGCTGAATACAGCTGAGTGCGATTCTGAAGCATTCAGAAACACCCCCCTACATTTAAAAAGAATCCACAGCATACACACACATGAACATTGAATCTTCCCAAGAGAAAAATTTAGTTCATCAAAAGACATAAATTTGTTCAAATAAACATTTCAGACAACTGTATTCCGTTCAAACCAGAAACAGGACGGGAGAACGATAAGAGCATACGTTTTTAACCATAGCATGAAGGAGGCTTTATGAACTCATTATTTCTAATGACCTTCCCCTCACCCTTATCTAGAGTAAGGAGGGGAGGCACCTGCTTTCTGTCCCCCTAAACAGTACAGCATAGTGAATTGTACAGGATCTCTCTATCATTACTTTTGTTCAAACATTTTATCACACAAAATAGGCCAAGGAAAAACCTTGATTCCACATTAGTTGCCATCTCTGAACTTGGATGCCAATATGCTCGACTAAATTTGAAAAAAAAAACTCCTAAAAAAAAACTCTTAAAGTGCTGAAACCCTGAGGTGACTTGAATTAAGGTGAAAGACTTATGTGTTTATAGTGGACCATGACTGGGCTATCTAAACAATATTATTACTGTTTGTAGTCCAACTTCCTTTCATTTCATTATCAATCATTCTTTTAATCATCTTATCTTTTCATTTTTTATCATTTTCATTATCTTTACTCATGTTTAGCAATCATTTAATTACCTTTATGCAACTTAAATGTACATTTTTCTGTTTATTTTGTCATGCACAGCAATTTGAATTGTCTAGTACTACAGTAAAATCTGCCACAAGCTGAGTCACACTTTGTAATGTTAGTTAACGTTTTTGCCTTAACATTTCAAATATGTTAACAAACAAAAGTGAAAAACTGGGCTATCTAAAAAATCTAATTATGCAAAAGCATAGTAGTTGACAGAGCACATGGTAGGAAAGAAAGCAACTTAAAATATGAATTAATAATTTGTATGTTAAAGTGTTGCTTACTGAAACAGATCACATAAGGTAATCTCTGTTTACTGTTAAACAGCTTAATGATTCCCAATGAAAAATACAGAGCCTAGAGGGACAAAACTGAGCTATTTGGCAGGTATACATACTGTTACATCTGGTGTGTAACTAACATGCATTTCAGAAAACAAGGAATGCAGAGAACATGGTGACTTTCTTCTGGTCCTATTCTCCTGCTTCCTGAATTTTGCTCTGACACTCACATGAACATGAACCCAGCCATCAGTTTATGGGGTTTTGCTCAAGTGTACTCAAGCTGTGCAGCAAGACATAAATTCTTAAGCACACTAGGAGTCCACTTTTGAATGGATAGAAAAAGAAAAATAGGTTTGGCTGTGGTCCAATCAAAGCCTAATTTAAATCCAATTAAGATGCTTCACAGGACCTCAAACATGCACATGCACAATGACTCTCCAGTGTGGCTGAATTAGAAGAAGAGTGGACTAAAATTCAGTGGACATCAAAAACACTTAATGGCAGCTGTGATACAAGCAGTAAAGAGATTTGAGGGCTGGAGGGTACTTTCTTACATACCTTAGGGCCAGGTATTAATAAATGAGCAACTTAAGTAAAAGTTGCTTTTTGTTTTAGCTATTTACATAGAGATTATTTCCTTTTGACCTTTAAAGGAATAGTACACCCAAAACATGATTAGCCTTCATTTTCTACTCACCCCCATGCTGAACAACACTCTGGAGTACTTTTTTGATATCTCAAATGCATCTGGAGATCTGGGAGGCTTCTTGCTGTCTGCTGACATTCAAATAATGGAGGTCTATGGTGCCCGAGACAGAAAGGTCCATAAAAGTCCACAAAAAACGTGTCAATATTCCTCCATACTGCTCGTCCAATGTATTCCAAGTATCCTGAGTGGGTAGCATCCAGAATTTACTCGAAACGAAGTCATTTAGAATGTTTTTAGAGCATAAACAGTAGTGTATAGGATTTCCTGAAAGCGCGCACATGCGCGTTCACGACGCTACGGAAGCCAGAAGACCAAACCAGCGCATTCAGCTCAGCAAAGAACTCATGCTCTTCCTCAACACTGAAGTCCTCAGACATTTTTCTTTCGTTGTTTCTTTCTTTGCACAGGTAAACAGCACATTTCTTCTTCTACGCTTGCATTATTGGCAGAGCAGACGCTGAATGCGCACTTTCATCTTGTTTGGTCTGCCGGCTTCCGTAGCGTCGTGAACGCGCATTTGCTTTTATGGACCTTTCTGTCTCGGGCGCTGGGCACCTCCATTATTTGAATGTCAGCAGACAACAAGAAGCCTCCCAGATCTCCAGATGCATTTGAGATATCAAAAAAGTACTCCAGAGTGTTGTTCAGCATGGGGGTGAGTAGAAAATGAAGGCTAATCATGTTTTGGGTGTACTATTCCTTTAAGATATAGTAAAACAACAGAGCCAATACACTGTGTGCAGAATTATTAGGCAAATTAGTATTTTGACCATATCGTCGTTTTCATACATGTTGTCCTACTTCAAGCTGTATAGGCTTGAAAGCCAACTACCAATTAAGTAAATCAGGTGGTGTGCATCTCTGTAATGAGAAGGGGTGTGGCCTAATGACACCAACACCCTAAATAAGGTGTGCTTAAATATTAGGCACCTTGCTTTCCTTTGGCACACTGCAAAAACGATCTAGAAATAAGTAAAAATTTCTTAAATTAAGTGTATTCACCCTTAATTTGAGTTGGTAAATGAGATAGTTTGCCAATGGAATGAGTAATTTTACTCCTAAAATAAGATAATTAGATAATATGCACTTGAAATAAGACAATGAAATTGTGTTTTCTTATATTAAGTGTAAATTGTCTTGTTCCATTGGCAAAATGTTTGTTTTACCTCCTCAATTCAAGAACAAATGCACTTATTTTAAGAAAAAATGACTTATCTAGATTTAGATTTTTTGCAGTGCATAATGGGTCAGAAAAGAGATTTGACAGACTCTGGAAATAAAAAAATGGTCAGCTGTCTTTCAAAACGATGCAGCAGTTTGGAAATTGCCAAGCTTTTGAAGAGGGTTCATCACACATTCAAGCAGTTGATGGCAAATAGCCAACAGGGGCGTAAGAAGCGTGTTGAAAAAAGAAGACTCAAACTAACTTGCCATGAATTGAGAAGGATCAAGCGTGAAGCTGCCAGGAAGCCATTAGCCACCAGTTGTACCATATTTCAGAGCTGCAACATATCTGGAGTGCTGAGAAGCACAAGGTGCTCAATACTCAGGGACCTGGCCAAGGTAAGGAAAGCCGAAAAAAGGCCACCTTTGAACAAGACACACAAGACAAAACATCAAGTTTGAGCCAAGAAATATCTGAAGACTGATTTCTCCAAGGTGTTTTGGTCTGATGAAATGAAAGTGAGTCTTGATGGGCCAGATGGATGGGCACTAGGCTGGAAAAGTAAAGGGCAGCAAGTTCCTTATCGACTCAGGCGCCAGCAAGGTGGTGGTGGGGTACTGGTATGGGCTGGTATCCACAAAAATGAGCTTGTGGGACCTTTTTGGGTTAATGATGGAGTCAAGATCAACTCCAAGACCTACTGCCAGTCTCTTGAAGACACCTTGTTCAAACAGTGGTACAAGAAGAAGTCGCCATCATCCAAGAAAAACATGATATTCATGCAGGACAATGCTCCGTCACACGCATCAAAATACACCACAGCATGGCTGGCCAGAAAAAGTCTATAAGGAGAAATAATAATGACATGGCCCCCTTGTTCACCTGATCTGAACCCCATGGAGAACCTGTGGTCCTTCACGAAATGTGAGATTTATAGGGAGGGAAAACAGTCCACCTCTCTGAACAGTGCAGTAGCTGTATTGGCTGCTGCATGCAATGTGGATAGCAAACAGATCAAAACACTGACAGAATCTATGCATGGAAGGCTTTTGAGCATCAGGGTAAAGAAAGGTGGATATATTGGTCACTAATTTGTTTGTTTGTTTTCAAATGTCGAAAATGTTTATTTCTGAATTTTTAGTTGTTATATTGGTTTACCTGGTGAAAACAAACAAGCGAGCTGGGTATATATTTGTTTTTATTACATTGCCTAATAATTCTGCACAGTAATATTTACCTGCACACAGACATCCTCATAAAATGACCAAATCTTAAAAAAAACACATGAACTTCCAAAAATATGAAACTTTGATATTAATGAGTTTTGGGGCTGATTGAGAACACAATTGTAGGCCGATAATAAAAATAATCCTCAACAATACAACTTTTCTAATATTGCTGCACAAAGTGTATACAGACTAACAGGAGCCAATTTAAAAATTAAACAGAGTAACAGTTGTTTTGTTTTTACGACGGAGTATTAGGGCCACACATGAAGAGAAAAAATATTTTTGCCATGACGAGATTAAACTCGACATGTCGACTTTAAAGTCGACATGTCGACATTAAACTCAACATTTCGAGAATAAAGTTGAAATGTCATGTTGAGTTTAATCTCGACGTGTCGACAATAAAGTTGAAATTAGTTCAAGAGAGCCAACCGCTGCACAGGTTACATGCACAGAATCCAGAATCAGACATGCCTTGTGTAGATGATTTGGTCAAATTGTACTTTCTGTGATGATTATACAGTTATACAGTTGCAGCACGTCAAAGACTACCTTCACTCTTAAAACGCAGACTGCAGCTGTGGAGCGCGGTTGCTCTTTTCTCCAAACGCAGACTGCAGCTGTGGAGCGCGGTTGCTCTTTTCTCCAAACTTTGAAATGTCGAGATTAAAGTCGCCACGGTATATCAACTTTATTCTCGAAATGGCGAGTTTAAAGTCGACAGGGCGACTTTAAAGTCGACATGTCGAGTTTAATCTCGTCATGGCAAAAATATTTTTTCTCTTCATGTGTGGCCCTAATACTCCGTCGTATGTTTTTGTCCCGCATCAATAAGTAATTGCTGGTAAACTTGTGGTCCCCCAACACCCTTTTATTTTAAAAGTTATAAGATGAGTGTCACATTTTCAACTTGGTGAAGCCATTTAAAATAAATTTTTTAGATCACCAAATCTTTAAAGTTAAAGTTTAGTCAATGATTTAATTTACACTAAAACCTGAGCTCTTTGTTTTGCTCCACATATCGGCCGGGTCCCTTTTCCCTATATGTCATGTTTTATTCTTTATCGTTTTCTATTATAGACTCATTGAGGTTTGATGCATGTTCTCTTGAGGAAGTTTTATATATATTTTTTTCTTAACAGAAACAGGACTGTTTGTGCTCTGTCAGACAGGTTTGAGGAGAGGAAGCCCTCAGTGATTTGTGGGCGCGGCCTGCAGCACAGTCTCGGCCCCATGAGCCTGTTGATTGACGCGCACCAATGGCTCCTCCTTGAAAACTCTTTCTTTCCCCTCCCCCTTCGTTTTCCAGTGTAGTGCGTTGATTTCATACCAAAGTCATACTTAACATTCCACTTATACTGTCAAACCTCTGACAAATATTACGGAAAACAACAAGGCGCCAAATTATAACAAAGTTACTAAAAAGCGCAAGTGGCTTCACTGGGAAGAATAGGGAGAGTGCGTAATAAAAAAAAAAAAAGGTAAGTTGTTTTAAAAAGTTCCCTGTTTCTGTTGTCAGCTTTTAGAGGGGAGATTTTTCATGCCGCTTGACTCGGTGAAGTTTTCAGATCATTGTCATTTTTCACATTTTTCCGCGGAGCTGGGAGGGAAGGGAAATATGTGGAGATTGATACACGATTGTGTTTGACTTTCCCAGAGAGCAGGGGCATCTTTGACAGCCTGTTTCAGTCCTATTTACACCAGATGTCCGCTTATTGGCACAATTTATATTGGAGGAAAAAAAAGTTTCTCTCTTTGACGCAGGGGAACCGTGTAAATATGTTTTCTGTTTTCTGTTGCGCGCAGTTCCAAGCTGAATCCAACACTTCCAGACGCGAGGATCTCAGCAGTTATTCCAAGGAGACGCAGACACCATTTGGAGGAATAACTTGGGACTGGTTTGGACCTCTGCATCCAGAAGGTAAATCAAAGGTCCTCATCGGACTCAGAGCAGGATTTCCACGGAAAATTAAAAAAAACAACAAAAAAGTTCTAAATGGATTTTTAATCTCAAGGCATTTAGATTATTAAACATTTGAAAATAAATATAGACCCTATATCTATCTACAAGTTTTACCCAAAAGCTCTTACTCTCTCCTTAGAGTTCCTCCGGTTCTGTTCAGATTGCAAAAAATGATAGGAAACACAAACACAGTGTTTCCTTTTCAACATGTTTACTATAAGATTATCCTAAACACAATGTTTTATTATTTAATCTCTTTTTTCATTTTAAAGCATATCTTAATATTTTGCATCCTGTTTATATCAATAAATGCAGAGTTACAATGTAAGTAGCAGATTATTTAATAAAACACAATGATCAGGATTAAAGCTTGGTTCATTTATGAAATGTAGAACTTCGTTTTTCCTATATGCTTATATGCCATTTCTGATGTCATATTATTAAGTAAACCCTCCTTTTTTAAATCTTCAAGTTTTATCTGAAGTTATATCATTGCTTTTCTAATAAGACACTCAGTTTTTCTGAATTTTCTTGCATGAACTTTTAAACCATGTCATCTGCAAAGTCCTACTAAGTACATAATTCATATGTAGGGATATGAGATGCATGGATATGCAACTGGCTAATAGTATAATTAGATCCAACCTCAGGCAACACCTGTCCTCTCAGTAAGTTCTTACTCTCGGTTCAGGTTACATTAGTGCAGCAACCAATTTGGACAGAGTTTTATCTTTTGAACCTCATAGAAACTGTACAAGACAGCATTCCTCCTTTGTGCAGTCATAAGAGCTCCACAGTTGAATCACTGACAGCCAACAGGTTTAACTCGGAAGCAGAATGCAGTCCGTCAAGTTGGTAACTCTAAGGAGAAGATCCTTTCAACCCTCCGAGTGACGTATGCTTTAAATACTCCATCAATAAGTTTTTTTTTTCTTACTATTTCAATTATTACATTGGTGGTATATGAATGTTAAACTAATTTTTTCTTTTGAGTTGCAATTGATCTTCATAAAAGTCATTTTGTTAAAGAAATATCACTTACCACCTCTATGTTTTAATGTAAATGTGATGTGAAGTTACAGCCTGTATTTTCCAGGGGGAAATGTGTGAAAACAATTGCTTCGCTATACATGAGACCTACTTAGGATGCTCAATAATGGATTTGCTTCTGATGAGTAAAATCTGGAAGCTATTAAGTATTTTGCTGCTCCGACAGATTCTCTGTTTGTTTTTAGGCAGCATGAATATGTTGGGCCTCTGCATATACAATGTGGTCCTTTCTCTTCCTGCATGCAGTCTAAAGTTTCTCAGCCTTTGCAGATTTGATGTATTTGCTCTGTTGCTTTGTGGGAGTTAAATGCAAAGGAGAAAGTTTTACAGCTCTGCGGTTGCAGAGGTCAATTAGATTACTTGAGTTAATATCGCTTCAGAGTGTCTGTTTTCCATTTCTCCTGCCCCAGCTGTGTTTCTTCAGGTTGTTTATCAAAGCAAGTTAATGACCATGTGTTCCTCTATTTGGGTACAAAAAAGGAAAATCCTGATTTCATACATAATTGCAAACCGTGAATAAATTGTTTTGCAAATAAGTCATGGTTTTGGGTTTATTCCCACATGGAGATACATCTTCTCCCTGCTCTGTGTTACGTTTGCTTTGGATGCAGCTTTGCTGACGGTCAGTAGCTGCTTCACTCGTCTTTTGCTAAACCCACAGAAGACAAGCTAATGAGCTGGTGCCCATTTGTGCAAGGATCGGCTGCCTTTTAGCACTGTCCCCAGAAGGGCTTGTCCAAATAGTGGACACTAACCTCCATGCTGGGACAGAAATGAACAAATCAACCCTACTTCTGTTTGTACTGTGAAGAAACATGAGGAAAGCCTTCACCTCTTAGTGACAATTTAGAAAATGATAGTTTATTTAATGAGCACACTTTGATAAAATAAGTGAAACAATTCTAAGCAAAAAGGTTCATCTTTTGTCTTAATTTCATCTCAAACACCATTTATTATGTTTTTATTAACATTCATGCACTGCATATGTTTATATAGCTTCCAAACCATCAGGTTTTCACAGATAAGCTTTCTGGCCTCTTGTTCAGGCCGCTCAGGGGAGGAGCCGAGGAGTGGCCTAGAACAGTGTGCTCTTTGTGTCAGCTGTCCACAACTTGTTAAATGTTTTAGTTGTTCTTTCTCTGGAGACCAACTGCTTGGACTGATATATACCAAAAGATGGTGGTCAAAAGAAGTAAGGCATGTAGGAAAATGTCTACAGCAATCCCAGCCTCCATACAGACAACAGGAGGCCGACTCCTACCTTGAGTCTGCCTCGTGCTTTAAAAGTGTGAGGGTTTCTACGTGTGGCTGTTGCATCTTTGTGGAGCTCCAGTGACCCAAGGGCACTCATGTGAAACTCCTTTAATCCTGCTGTGCTGAGTGTTTTAGGTGGGGGTTGATGATCTCTTTTCTGCAGCACAGTGTTCACAATTTCCGTCATATTCAGGAGGATCACAGAAGCATCAGAAGTGAAACAGCACTCAAACTTTACCTTGCTTTTTGTGTTCGGTTGCAGTTTTCCTTGCAAAATCGTCCTGCATATGACACTGATAAAAACCGTGGCTACTCTTAATGCCTCAAATTATGCAGTCAGATGAATTATTGGCATAGTGCATTCTGCTGCATGTCTTAAAGGTTTCACAGATTATGGCCTGTGACCGCTCCCTTTACCACAAAATGACCAATTCAGGGTAGAATTGCTTCTCCGCTACGTTCCTTGGAAAATTTCCGATTAGAATGCTGATTCAGGCTGTTGGAGGGGGAAAAAAAGGCCCTGCGGCTTAGTTTGTGTCAGTCTCTCCATTTTCAGCTAGATTTTACACGAATTGTTTGAAAGCACGACAGTGGGCTGTATACCACATAGCCAAGAGCATCAGCTATTCAAATAAAACAAATAGAGGGGTAAGATGGATCTCTGCTTTGACTTGTGATGCCTTCCCCCTTGCTTTAGCACTTTGAACTTTTTTTTTCACTTTCAGGTATATTAAGAATGATATAAACATTAAAAGGAGTCTATAATTAATTTTCTAAGCTCAGCTTCAACATTTATAAAGAGTCCGGCCTTTTTTTATTTTGCACTGAAGCTGTGGATGATGATCCTTGCATGCAACAGATTATGCTGAGGGCCATTGTTTTCTTTGGGCTCACAGCTGGTATCAGACTGCAAATGTTTGACTTGACAAGTGGCGCATATGTTGTGTGTATGTGTGTGTGTGTGCTGATGAGCATGTCTCAGATTTTCCCTCTGCCTCTTGCCGTGTGAGCTGCTGGCTGTCCAGCACTCTAGCTCGCAGCTCTGATTGTTTCCTGAGCTCCGTGCCAGATAGGAAGTAGGAGGAAGTTATTGGAAGAGCTGGAGAGAATTTATTAGGGCCATATACAGATGCAGGAGGCAAAAGGAAGGGTGATGACTCTTTTTTTTTTTTTCTTCTTTTTGTTTTTTCAAAGAGGGTGCTTGTGATGTCACGAGCACATGTCCTAAAAGAACAACTGTGCTTCAGAAAATGTGGTTTTTGCTGAAAACCTGCAAAGTCTGTATGTCAGAAGCAGTATAGCTGTTATCAGTGCAGCTTTTCTGGCCTGCAACCTAAAATGTTTCCTTTATCTGTAATCTGACCTTAGAGAGCAGCTGCTCCTTATGTTGCCAGGACCTGTTGTTTCCCCCGCTTCAAATGTGTGTTTGTGTGGCCATGGCTGTGTGTTACGGGGTCTTGCTGTGACGAAGCGCATCGACTGCATCTGTGAGACCCTCTAAACCTTGACTGGACGTGCAGTTCTCATGTGGAGTCGTTTTTAGGCAGAGATTTGTTGCTGTGTGTAAACTCAGACGTTTGTCAGAGGTGCATTTAAGTCCCAGCTAAACAGGGGGGGGTCTGACTGCCAGCAGCGGTCTGTTTTTTGCCAAGAACTGTCACGAGCCCTACAGCAACTAAACAAAAGCTGAATTTCTAAAGACAGGAACAAATCGTGTTGTGCAGCGGTTAGCAGCTAGAACAAGGAATATACAATCTGACAGGAGAGACATGAAAGGAGAACAAGTATGAAGGATCAACATTAGAAGAGGCAGATTTGAAACAACTCTGCTTGCAATCTACTTCAGGACCTGCAGTCCCGCTGGTGGAGGTATACAGATAGGTAAATAGGAAACTGTTCTCATCGTTTTTGTAAAGGAGTTAAAGAAAATTAGTTTTCAGGGATTTCTTTAGAGAAAGCAGATAAATCTACTTTTACAGCTTTTATACTTATACAATGAAACGCAATGCAAAACAAATCTTTAAGTAAAGAGTTTGTTTCTGTTTAACATCATGATGTAAATAAAGTGCAGGCAGGTTCACCTAAAATGATTGGAATACCATTTAAAATTTGTTCTCAGTCATTAACTGAAATTCATGTTTTGAGATCAAATCATTACTTAGAATGTGATATTTAGACGGTGAAATAAGTAGTGAACACACTGTTTTTCTCATTTGAAATACTTTTGTATTTATAATAAAATATTTTTTATACAGTACACATAAATAAATGTGGAATAAATCAATGTTAATTATATAAAAATAATGATAAACTAGAGAAGAATGGTTTGACTTATTGCACAGAAAGGACAACCTGGCAGAAATGAAAACTATACCAATCGTATGAACTAAAAATAAATAGTATCTTAATGTGTGAAGGTCTTATTTTCAAGGATCAGGTGTTAAGTGGGGACCTGGGCCTTGTTGATGAGGCTAGCAGCACATGGGAAGAAGCTGATTTTGTGGTGAGCTGTTATCTTCGGCAAGAATATATTTCGCAATAATTATAATACTGTTTTGTTTTTTACGATCCCCTTGCTTTTACTAGTTTCAATGCTCTGTGCATTTCTTTGGTAATCAGAAATATTTCTATTATTAAACCATTAGATCTGATTA